TTCCTTGTCCGGCAACGGATCGCAACCCTCAGTGTTGCCCCCGTACTGGACCAGGGACCGGCAACGGGATCGCAACCCTTGGTGTTGCTCCCGCGCCTCGCTCAGCCAGTGAGCAGGAACCGGTCTGTATGTGGGATCCGAACCCTCGAGCGGGAGCGCCGCCGCGCTTCCCAAGCGGCGCACTATCCAGTGCGCCACCGGGCCGGCCCATCATAATCTTTTTTGGTGAGTGTGGTTAGATGACAGAAGAGAGCATAATCTGGGATGCAAATTAGATCAGGGGTGTCGTCTTTGCCTTGCAGGTAGTGTGGCCTTGGGTAAACCCAATTGAAATAACATCCAGATCCATTCTTGCAGTTCCGGGGGCAGCGTGAAAGAGACTTTCTTGAGTAACCATCTCATTAGTCCCAATTGAGAAATGAGCAGTGGCAAAGATCCGGGAAAGTGTTGTCATGAAAGTGCAGGCAGGGCTTTTCTGATCCTCTGCTGATTTCTGCCCTTGAGCTATTTTCCAGGTCGTCCACCAGCCTGCCTGGAAAACCACTGGGTTGTCTTGAAGAAAGACAGTGCTTGGAGGAGTGTTGACTACACTCTCCAGCCCTTAGCCTTGGGCTGTCCCTGTCCCTTTCCAGTCAACAGTGGATGAAGGACAAAATGGATTCCAAGAAGAAGCATCGGGACCACCAAACTCTGCATGGTGCTTCTCTCAGGAGGACTAATTGTGTTAAAAATGGAGCTGGACTGGGGTGGTCACTCTAGAAAATGCCCCTGGGCCCCTTTTCTGCCACTAGGTGTGTCCTCTGCAGGTGCTCTGCTCCCATAAGTCAGCTGCTGCAGGCCAAGGAGAGAGCCGGGGTGGAGCCCAGGAGTGGGAGGTTAGATCTGCCTCCAATCTCAACAAAACGTGCCCTCCACTTCCTCCATGAGATCCCTCCCAGCTCACCAAGGTCAACCTTTGTCAGGGGTATTCTGGTCCTAACATTAATAAAGAGTGTGTACCTGCTTGCTGTGTCTTCTGTGTGGTGTGTATCTTGGGCAGGTTTGCTCAGAGGCTGCAGCTTAAATCTGCATCTTCCCTCCATCCCACTAAGGTGAAGTAAAGCTCAATCTCATTCATTATTGGAGGCCCCCCCTCTTTTGGTGAGTTACCAAGAATTGGGGGTCACCTCTGAGGGGCTTTCAATCCATGGTGATTTTCCCTGCTACCCTCACTGTTCAAGACCACATGGTCCCTTGCAGGTGCACATGTCTGCTGCGCCAGGGCTAGTGGGACAGAAGGGGTGAGGTGGCAGGGGTGCTTCTGCCTAGGCTGGGAGCCCTGATGCCTGGGGTCCAGCCTCCCTCTGTGTACCAAGAGGACACTTCCCTGAGACCTTGTCTCCCTGAAGTCCCCCGATGTCCCATGAGTAGAAATTTCCCTCCTGCATTTCTGCAGGAAATGTCCCCTCCCTCCTATGCAAGGTGCTCAGGACTCTGGAAAGCACCAGGCTGTAGACTGTCTGCTCACAGGACAATCATTGCATGTGGTGAAGGCGGGTGAGGGCGGGCTACCTGCTTGGTACACCAACAGGAATGGGAACAGCGAACAGGGGTGGCCCTGCCCCACCAGCATTCTCACTTCCCTCAGAGTTGCGATTACCAGGAGGGTCCTGGTTACTTAGAAGGGGAGCCCTGGAGAGGAAGATGTCCATCAGGAACATCAAACCCAAAGCTAGGTTTTCTGGCTTTGTGATATTCCTGTGTGTATGATAGCTCGTTGGAATTTTGGGAAGATGGGGCACAGATGAGACTTGGGAATGTTCCAGCATAATCCATTTTCATATACCATATATCATTGTAGATCTCACTATAGTTGCTTCTTTTATGGCTTCAAAATGGACTATGCTGTTCACTGGTATGCTTTTAGGCCTGTATGAAAAGAATCACCCTCTGCATAGCTTTTATATATTTTAATATGATTGATTATGCAGTTTTTCAGGGCTGACTTTTTTCAAAGCAACCTGAATCATCCATTGAGGCTGTCAAATCACTACTTTCTTCTAGGCTGGGTATACACAAGAAAAGACAGCAGGTTTCTGTGGCAAGAGCCTGGGCTTTGGAGCTGGAGAGAACTGAGTTCAGATACTTACTCTGTTACTCACTTGCTGTGTGACCTCAAACAACTTACTGAACTTCTCTGAGCCCCAGCAAGTGTTAGTTCCCTTTCCCTGCCCTCAGGATTCTGCTCTGGATGCTGTGGTAATGAGTATAAGGGATTACTAGTGATAGGAAGAGTGCTTACTATGTGCCAAGCACTCTAAGCACATTACCCCTTTTGGTGACTGTAAGATATAATATCCACCCCCATTTTACAGATGTGTTATGTCGATACTCAAATTTGGGAATTGGTGAAGCCTGGCTTCAGAATGAAATTTTACTGGTTCCAATGACCGTATTCTTTGCATTATATCACACTGCCTTAACCTTTAATCCTTACTGACTAACATACTGGGATGTTAACAGGGGTCATCAGTGCCTAAACTCAATGAAATGACTGTAATGGAGGGACTTTGAGGCATAATAGTCTGGTGGCCGTGGAGCTGCTCTTTTAGAATCTCTGGTTTTGGGATAGGTGACCACCTAGACTGCCCGTGAGTAGGGCCATTTATTCCCTTAGTCACCAGGACTGTAAAAAAAATGGTGGTAATTTAGGCAGTGGGAGTGATTTGTGTTTGATTCAGCAGACAGGCCTTATGAAAAGTTTACATCTGAGTTTAATAAGATTAAGATAGAACACATCTTGACTGCTTATCTGAAGTCTGTCTGAATTACTCAGTTTTTGTTCTAAGTGAATAAGGTGCCAGTCTGATATGTGTGTGTGTGTGTGTGTGTGTGTGTATGAGGATACTTCAAAAAATTCGTGGAAAAATAGAATTAAAAGATAATACAATCTTTCCACGAACTTTTTGAAGATCCCTAATATACTTTTCAGTGAGGAAGGAGGGGGAAAGGAGACTTCAAAAGCTTCAGACTCGTTGCAAAATGGGAAATGGAATTGATGCTTTTTAAATCATGGTGCTAAA